TCTATATATCTCTATATATCTCTATATATCTCCTCTATCTATCTATATATATATAGATATCTCTATATATATATATATATATATACAATGTCTACATGTCTGTTTACTGTCAATATGAGTGACACTGCTGTATTGTGGGGGGTTTTGTATACATTCATCTTTCTGTTGGTGAGCTGTAGCCAACCAATCTTCCCATCATTGTCCATGTCTTGTCTGTTTGTCTCCCTATCCGTGTCAGTACTATAAAACCATATCATTATATACATTATTCCATATCAGCCTGTCCAACAATGTTTGTCTGCATCTGTCTTCAGTGTCAATGCAAGTTAGTTTGTCCCTCTGTATCCTTCTGCCTTCATTGGTACATCTGTTTCAATCTATGTCTTCAGGTCCGTGCCATTGCCAAGACTACTACGCTGTTTGTTGTGTGTGCCGATGACAGTCTGTTCAATAATGATAGTCCAGGTATTATTGTCAATGAATATCATTTCTATTTACATAAGAGGCAGGGCCGGTGCTAGACTATTTTGCGCCCTAGGCAAGACCAGCTACTTCCACCCCCCCTCCCGTGGCGCAACCCCCAATCCCCCCCCACCCTGCGCAGCCCCATTCTCTTGTGGGTTAGCTTCTGCAGGTGACAGACAGGTAGATTTAATTTAATTTGAAATAGCCAATAGCAGACTGGCTAAGGAAACCTCACCCACTGAGCACAGGAGCGAAACTGAGAGAGAAAGTTGTCTCTCAGTTACGCTCCTCTGCTCAGTGGGAGGGTGCAATAGCCAGCCTGCTATTGGGTTTTGCAATTTGAAATAGATGAGGGCACCGTGGGGGGTGAATGGTCAAGGCTGCACCCTAGGTAGCAGTGCGCCCTAGGCAGTTACCTAGTTTGCCTAGTAGCAGTACCGGCCCTGATAAGAGGCATTCTGTCATCAGTGTCAAACACTCTCCTAAAGTGTCCATTAGATAGACATTAGATGACATTAAAGTAGTAATAAGCTCTCCGACTTTTTTCAATAATGAATCTAGATCAAACAAATATACATTGCCCGGCAAATAATTTATTTAAATGTTTGCCCATGCACTTACAGACATCATGTTTCCAAACAGCTGACTCCAATTCTCTCAGCTCCTCTTCCCTAAACTTCCTGTCTAGTACAAGATCACAAGGGAGAGCACAGTTTTCAGCAGCTGGCCATCTACTAGCTTGGAGAAGGGAGGAAGGAGGAGAGGGGAGCAGGAGAATGACATACATTGCTGTGCCTGTGTGTTTGTGAAGACACGCACAGCTTAGTGACACATGCAAGGGTGGCTCTATAGGACCCTGCAAGGGAAAGGAGCCACTCTAAAACAGGATATCAGAGCCAAAGCTCAGAAGACTGATTCTGCAGAAAACTAAAACGTTTAAACATCAAGGAGCAGCATCCATTGAAAGTGATTTAATCAGCATTTGAAATAGCTTAAAAACCTTTTATATCCTTTTTATATACTTTGATATCACCTGTTTTCAGCTAGATTGGGAGACAATGTGATGTCTATAAGGCACAACACACACTGCCAAATGAGACTTGTCATGAGGGAGGGAAACAATTGGATTGGGGATAATAGAAATGCCCAGTTTCTTGGGTGCCCCGGAGTTGGTCAGCAGGAAGGTAAGCAGGAACCTAGAAGTGTCTTCTATTCACAATAAATAAAAGTTTATAAACATTTTTTCAC